GGAGGAGGAGGAGGAGGAGGAGGAGGAGGAGGAGGAGATAAAGTGGCCTAGAAATGACTTCGACATTCCTTCAACTTCCCAAAGCAGCGAACACAGGGCTGACAACTTAGGTGACTTAGGGGGAAGTACAGAAGAATTAAGGGCAAGGGAGTGAGAAAAGACAAACCTTATGGCACAACATACCTTTTCCCTCTTTCTGTATAATGCACCATTCACCCAACACCTGGAAATATAGGGTGGAAAGAGTTACAGAGCTAGGAGCCCTCCTTAAAAGGGAGCTCAGACAAGTGAACGGGGTCAGCAATAATGGTCGAGAATGCTTTGAAAGCTTCATGCTAACCAAGAGAGGGATGCACAATCTCTTGATAATTGAGCATGTAATCCTGTTTGCAAAGTGGAGTCTTCTCCAATTGCAGGCATTTGAAAATGGTGCGTCTCCTAATAGAGTATAGCTCCAGCAGACACATTCCATAAATGCATATCTGTACACCATCAGAACTCTACAAAGACAGCGGAATCTGCCAAATCAGCAGCATGTTTTCATTCCTGTTGTGAACAGCCGGCTTGAAGTCCTTGTTAAAGTTCTGGTAGCCCCTGCCTCCGGAGGCAACGGCAACCGAACTGACTTTCTCTTTTCTGACAACCTCTCGGGCTGAAGACCTGCTTCGAACCCACACATCCGGGTCATCGACTATCTCGTAGATGGAACCGTCCTCAACGCTGTGCTCCAGCGAGTTCTCGTTGGTGTGAGCCGCAACACTGTGTGCTGACAGTAACTGACCGGGTAGGTGAGAGGTGGAGTGCAGGCTGTAACACAGTGAGATTCCTTGCTTCTTATCCGTGTGGTCATGCTGATCCTGAAGGGATTCCTGGGATGAGGAATCCTCTTTGCTATTCAGTTCCTGATGCTCAGGCATGTCCTCAGTCGACTCACTCTTCAATAAGTCCAAGTCCAGAGAGCCAATGGTAGGGATCAGAAACTCCACAGGACCACAATGTGCATTCAGTGAGATCATTCCCTTTCCTGTACAGAAGACAGAAACAGAACTGAGCAGTGACTGGAAACACTACTAAATACAATGCAGAATCTCAACAATCCAATGTCTCCCTGAGTCACCATCTTTACTCGAACCACTCAAGCGAAGGGTGCTTTTTGAAGGAGGGATGTCAGTTTTGGTCTTGATGCAAAGAGAGGGACATCTATTTTAAAAACCATTTCAACATCAAGCAAGGGTTTGATGTTTGATTATATCCCAGTCTCCTGGGGTGGGGAAGAGTGGATAAACGAGAGAGGTGCGATGAGGAGGAGGAGGAGATAAAGTCGCCTGGGAATGACTTCAACATTCCTTCAACTTCCCAAAGCAGCAGACACAGGGCTGACACCTTAGTGACTTATCTTACTGTAGCCTGCTAAACATTTATCAAGTCAAATATATATGGATTAATTACCAAATAAAGCCTCCTTCACCAGCACTTTCAGACAGGCACAGAAATGATTAGAGGAGAGTTAACCTCCTTCCACATTGCTCAACAAGTCAGCCCCTAACTTAAAACAGTGCCCTCAGCTTTACATACAAGACATTTCCAAGTTTTTCTAACTTGTCTAAATCTCAGCACCAGCTTGTTGCTAATCAACAGTAAATGACGTGCAATGTTGAATTTACATCTACGTATTACTTTGCACATCTTCATTCATGATGGCACTATCTCACAGGATATTCGTTCCTATCTATATGCAGTTTGATTAATCATGTCAACTAATCTGTTTCTTTTAGAATTCCAAACTCCACCAACTTTTTGTCTTGCGACAAAACTACAAATGTGACAGAGAGCAACATACAGAGCAAGGATGAGTGATACAAAAAATTTTTACCTGTTACTTTTGGAATTCCTTCCAGTTTTGGTACTGGTAAAGTGATCAAAATTCCTAGATTGGTCCCAACCCACAGCATCCCTTGGCAAACAAGCAAACACGTCACCAAAATGTTCTTTTGGCCTGAATAAGGGAGGAGGAAGTCGTAAAATATCATTGTCAAACCGTCCAGACTATCTCAAAGCCAAAAAAAAAAGACTAGCCGCAATCATTTGTTTCATTTTCAAAAAGACCAGAGAACATCTAGACATTTTCTTTACCCTGTGTCGAATTACAACGAGTGTTCAAGCTTAGTAATAGAGTAACAACCAAATGGTGGTTTAATTAGAACATCAGTTTGGCTTTACACAACCAGCTGAAATGGAGTATCTCTGGCCTGTGAAATAAATCCCCTTTCCTTGATAGGTCTTTCTTATCACCACTGCAATTCCATTCAGCAGCCAGTAACCAGATAGTAAAATCCAAAAGAGAGAGGACGGTAAGTGCACAGCAAATTTCAAGATATACAGAATATTCCAGAATTTTGGTTTTGCTTAAATTTAGGGAGTTGGTCAGCTCAGTTGGCAGGATGGCTGGTTTGCGATGCGGAGTGATGCCAACAGGATGGGTTCAATTCCTACACCAGCAGAGGCTACCACAAAGGGCTCTCTTTCTCAACCTCTCCCCTCACCCGAGGCATGGCGACCTTCAGGTTAACCACCACTGGCACCTCTCTCTCCCTAATGAGAGCGCAACTCTCTGGTCTGGTAAGACTATGTCGACTTTAGTAATCCAGAAATCAGGATTTCGTTCCCTTTCGACAATCCCTAAGAATTTGTATTTCCCTGAAAAAAGTGATGACATTTAACCTTTGCAGTAGTACAGGTGTCTGCTTATCTAGGTATTCATGGCAGCTGCAGCTTACAGGTGAATTATTTATCCATGCTTGTGTTTTGTTTTGTAGTAAGGTTGAGACAGTTGTTTAGCCTCCCAACACTATGCTGCTCAAGTCCACAGTGTTTAATGCAAGAACTGTTTACTTACAGCTAAAGTTTTGTTTCAAAAACAAAAAAAAACCAACCTGCCTAGAGATGACGACATACCTCCAGGCAGGTAGAACTTTAGCCCAAACCTTCTGGCCCAGAGGTAGGGATGCTACCACTGCACCACAAGAGTGCCCATGCACAAAAGCAGAAGTTGTTGGAATCCAAAATGAAATCACAAATTGCAGGAGAAACTCAGCAGGTCTGGCAGCATCTGTGGAGCGAGAAACAGAGTTAACGTTCAGAGTCCAAAGATGACTTCTGATTGGTTTGAACAGGCAGTTTTCCAACAATGCTTCAGTCAATGGCTGTGATAACATGATTGGAACAAACTGAAATGGGCTATGTACATTTTGTTGGGTCAATGCTGTTGCTAGCATTTGCTTTCTACTCACCTATTTGCTGATTTACTGGTGAAATGGATGCAATATATAGATCAAATGCTGTATAATGGGCAAATCACATACTGGAATCATGGCTATGATGCCTTGGTAAAGAACGTGCAAGGGTTTGAAAAAGATCTGCCCTTTGTGGTAACAAGGCAGACTTGATCGAGAGAGCTGTACAGCAAGTATTACCATCATTTTCTGTTACTTCAGGTTTCTGACATCCTGAGTATTTTGCTATCCAACATAGTGTTGAGTTGAAGCAATTTGGTAAATGAACTTGTGCAAATACATGCTTGGCCCTGGTTGACTAAGTTTACACAAGACAGCCAGGAAGAGCTGAACCTTTCTGAAACAGGAGTTTGCTTCCTAAAAATCGTTTATAAGCTAGATGCATACAACACTCATCAGAAAAATTGCTGTGAAATGTTATTGTTTTGGAATTTTCCTCACATTCCACTTCAGGGATTCACCAGTGTCAGGGACATTTCCCATCGTCCTCATCCACAACTCCCCCATAATCTTGTCAATGGGGTTTGGCAAACATTGAGAGAATTACTCAAAGTCTTTTGACTGAATGTTAATCTGATATGCTAAAGCAGGAGTAGTTTAAAGCAATTCTTACACAAAGATAAAATTTTATGACAATGGGACAGGAAAGAGAGCACTGGGGACATTAAAATTAAATGTTGCTTAATGTCAAAAGCTCAGGTGACCAGACTGTAAATTCTTCCAGTTTCATGTTGCAATTACAGTGACAGAAACTGGATAAGTTCACTCCTACTCACAATGCAGCCCATCTCCCCTCAACTCCAGCATTACTGCAAGAGTGTGACAGCATGAAATCTCACTCTTCCTTGTCCATTTGCTCGATGGTCATTGGCACAAAGAATAAGGATTACAGAATGGAGCCATCCCAGCGATGTCATCCTCTGGCCCAAGTCAGTGCCCAAAACTCAGCAATTCCTAAAGTGGGAGCTGAGAGCCCAAGTGGAATTTTGAACTGAAATTTTGGGGCCATGAACCCTGGAGGCAGCCATGAACACGTGGAGCTCTGTGTTCTAACAGCTGTGCTTCAGCTCAAACAAGTCTCACTGGGAGGTCATGATAACCTTCAAACCTCAGCATGGAGGTCACATTGGGATAAATTTTGGGAAGATGGTGATGGCCCCAGAAAATATTGATGAAGCAGAAGGACCCCTTTAAACTCATTTTTCTGACTCCCCCCTTTCGATAGCGCTGCCATCTTTGGGATGCAACATTAAACTGAATCCCCATCAATGCCTGCACATGGGCCTAAAAAGATTTGATACCATGGTTTTGAAAAGCAGCTTGGAAGTTCCCTCTGGCACCTAGGCCAGTCCAGGGTGAAGACAGAAATCAGGGGCCTTGGTGTCAAGCTCCTGGTCTCTGATCCCCAGCCCCAAAATAGTGGCCCCAACCAGAACATGACAGGCCCCCTAGAGCTCCGAGTCAATGTCATCGGGCTCTGTTGCAAACCCTTGTCCAGGCACTGTGGGTCAGAGGTTAGCACTGCTGCTTCACAGAGTCACGGACCCGGGTTCGAGTCCACCTTGGACAACTGTCTGTGTGGTGTTTGCACATTCTCCTCGTGTCTGTGTGGGTTTCCTTTGGGTGCTCCGGTTTCCTCCCACAGTCCAAAGATGTGCAGGGTGGGTGGACTGGTCATGCTAAATTGCCCCATAGTGTTCAGGGATGTTTAGGTTAGGTGGGTTAGACATGGGAAATTAGGGGAATGGTCTGGGTGGGATGCTCTTCGGAGGGACAGCGTGGACTAGTTGGGCTGAAGGGCCTGTTTCCACACAGTAGGGATTCTATGATTAGGTTAGATAGATTGGCCATGCTAAATTGCCCATTGTGTCCAGGCTGGGTGGGTTTGACATGGGAAATGCAGTTTTACAGGGATGGGGGTGGGGGGGGTGGGATCTGGATGGGATGCTCTGAGGGTCGGTGCAGAGTCGACGGGCCGAATGCCCTCTTTCCACACGGCAGGGATTATATGCACTGCCTCAGTCAACCTCACTAAACAAATGAGCTGTCAGGTCATTATTACATAGTTGCTTGTTAGATCCCATGTTGAAAATTGGCTGCATGCCTTTGTCAGTACAAATGATGTTATACTTCAAGCTATTTAGGCGACTTAACAGGTAGTAATGCTTAAGATATCAGAGGACTGTGGTAGGTGCTACATATTTTACTCTTTCAATATAAAGATGTTCATTACTTCTTATTTCAAGGGATCCTATTCTTACTTATTCCTTTTTTTTTGGAAAAAATAAAGGAGACAACAGATAAACAAAACTACAGGCCGGTTAGCTTAATATCTTGCATCGGGAAGACATTAGTCTATAATAAAGGGTGTGATAATAATTTAAACATGGTTTCATGAAGGGAAAATCATGCCTGATAAGTTTACTACAATTCTTTGGGAAGATACAAGCAGGATTGATAAAAGGGAACCAGGTGATGTAATATATTTGAATTTCCAAAAGGCATTTGACAAGGTTCCGCACAAGATTACTTTATAGGAGTCCATAGGTGTTGGACACAGTATATTAGCATGGAGCATTTTCAAGATGGAACTGTAACTAGTCGAGTGTCACAAGGATCAGTGCAGCAGCCAAAATTATTTACAAGATATATATCGATGAGCTGGTTGAGAGATGTAAATGTACTGAGTTTGTTAATGACTGAAAATTAGGTGGGGAATCAAGTGGTGAATCTGAAACAGAGTCTGCAGAGGGATACAGACATGTTAAGTGAGTGGCTGGAAAATAAATGTGGGAAAATGTAGTTGTGCACTTTGGCAGGAAGAACAGAACAGCTAGATATTATTTATATGCAGAAAGATTGCAGAAATCTGCAGTACAGAGGCTTTGGGAATCCTCATGCACGAAATCACAAAATACTAGCATTCCAAGTTCAGTGGGTAATAGGAAAGGCAAATGGAATGTTGGCTGTTATTTCAAAGGGAATGGAGTATAAAAGAGGGGAGGCTTTGCCAAAACATAACAAAAAGGTACCCATTAGATCATACCTGGAACACTGAGGAGATTTTTATCCCCTTTCTAAGGAAGGATATATTAGCATTGAAGGCAGTCCAGTGAAGGTTCATGAGGTTGATCCCAGGTTCGGAGAGACTGTCTTAGGGAGAGGTTAAATAGGTTGAGCCTGCACTCATTGGTGTTTAGAACAATGAGTGATGACTTTATTGTAATATACAAGATTCTCCTAGTAGGAGAGTCTCGGGCCAGATGGCATAATCTCAGAGTAAGCAGTCAACCATTTATGATAGAGATGACAAAAAACTTCTTGTATAAAAGCATAATGAATCTATGACATTCTTTACTACAAAGGGTGTCGAGGCTGGGTCGTTAAGTATATTCAAGGCTTAGACAGATAGATTCTTAATGAACAAGGGAATTGAGGGTTATGAGGAAAAGGCAGGAAAGTGGAGTCAATGATCAAGTGATCAGCTGTGATCTCATTGAATGGCGGAAGTCAATGGGCCAAATGGCCTATTTCTGCTCCGACATCAATGGCCTTTTCCAAGATTTGCACTTCATCACACCTTGGTGCAGTTGTTACTGCTCCTACAAGTAATGCTCAAACAGGAGGCTTGTTTTGCTGCCTTTCATGCTAAAACAAATTGGTCAAGGTATTCTATGCAGTGAGAAGTATCTTACCTGGACTGAAGAACGTGTTGCGTGGAACTACGTTGATTTCCTGCAGATGTTCTAGAGTCTCAGTGTGGAATAATCGAATGGAGGAGCCGGCTGAGAATGCCATCCACACCCCACCACCAGCTTTTATCATCCGAGTCACGCTCACCTCGTCATCAGGGTGGACCTCAAAACACTGCCGGGTACAGGGAGGGAGAAATCAGTTTATTTGCTACAGAAACTCCACCACCTTATTTTCAAAGCAGTGCCAAGCTAAATCATTTTAATTGTTTGGAAAACTGAAAATTAGAAAGGACTCCCTTCTGCTTCGAAATAAGAGCACTTCTTCTGAATTGTTGCATGCAACATCAGACATAATTTTTAGACAGCAAACAGAACATCTGATCGCAGACAGATAAGTTACTCTGGTGCCTAAGTTGTCCAGTGCAATTCACCCACAATGACAAACTGCATCGATGAATTAATCACTCTCTAATTTTACCTTGCTCTTCTGGATGGGTAAGATGGTCATCTACCAAAAGTATGCAGCTAAGACGCCTCAGTAAGAGGCTCAGGTTACTATTTTAACCTTGGAATGTGAGCGGGGGGAGGACACTGATCAGTCTGGTAAGCAGAAGCGCTGGGCACAGAAGAGGCTCAAGATGGTATATACTGAAACTTCATTTCACAGCTTTGCTTGTGCAGCTAAGAATAGCAGACTTGTCCCATTGAGGGAATACTCAGGACTCCCACTTGGGTCCCTGGTGGCTGTTTTATATATCTCAGAATATCGCTGCATTGTTCCAAAATGTGTGCAACAGGTTTTATTTACAACAGCTTTAAAATACCTCTGCAATCTCAAAATGTTTGCATCTTGCTCACAGCTCAGGTTGCCAGCAGCAATCCTTTATTCTGTATGGGCATCACTGGCACTGGATGCCCATCCTACTCAGCCTTGAACTGATTGGCCGCATTAACATTGGTCTGGAGTCACAAGTAGAATGGGTAAGGATGGCAGATTTCCTTCCCTCAGGGTCATTAGTCAACTAGATGGGTTCTTTTGACAATCAATGGTGGCTACACAGTCACCATTAGACTAACTTTTAATTTCTAAATTTATTTTTATTTAATTCAAATTTCACCATTTGCCATGCTGAGATTCAAGCCCATGTGCCCAGAATAATAGCCTGCAGGTCTGGATTACCATGTCAATGTTTCTGTGATGACTGCTTATTTGATCCGAGTCCACACCCAGACTTAACGAACTGAGCACAGATCAGTTAACAGACTCTTATAATCAAACACAAATTAAATGAGCGCCAAATAACTGCCCCTTGAAACCTAATACTTTTCTGCCCATTGATCATAGAATCCCTACATTGCGGAAACAGGCAATTCCTCCCATCAAATCCACACTGACCCTCTGGAGCATCCAACCCAAACCCACCCTATCCCTATAACCCTGCATTTGCTATGGCTAATACACCTAGCTTGCGCATCCCTGAACACCATGGGTAATTTAGCATGGCGAATCCACCCAAACTTCACATCTTTGGACTGTGGGAGGAAACCAAAAGCACCCAGAGGAAACCCACGCAGACAACTGTAGAATGTGAAACTCCACACAGACAGTTGCCCGAGGGTAGAATCGAATCTCAGTCTCTGGTACTGTCAGGCAGAAATGCTAAGCACTGAACCCAAGCTGTTACTTCCTGCCTCTTGCAAGCATGTTAGTGAAAGGGGGCCATGCAGCTGAGGCCCAGCAATTACATTTGTCTGGGCCTCATGCTGGCATGGACAAAACAGTTTGCTGCCTGAGCCACTTGCACCCCAATGTAATTGGTGCCACAGTAAAGAACTCCTAGTTTAGAACCAACGCAATTAACTGACAGAAAAAAAGGTATTTGTATTCTACCCTTGCCTGAAAGAGGCCCCCCAGCCCCCAGCCCGTGCACCTGAGTGACATCTTTCCTTTTGCAAATCCACTGATGCTTTCAATCTTGAAGCAATTAGCTCAAAAGTTAGGTAGGTTCGTGCTGTGGGTCTTTGCCCACTATGGATTAGATTTAACCAACCTGGTTTTGTTCTGTGTAGTATCCTCGAAAATAATAGACAGAAAGAAAGAAAGAAAGACTTCTACTCTATCAGTTTGCATTGGACTGAAATCCAAATGGCAAAAGGCTAGTGTACAAACAGACACCATGCAGTCCCACCGACAGATAAACATTTCAAAAGAATTCTACTGAGTCGTACAATTATTCAGAGCTGCGCGGCCTAACTCAATAAATGCAAGCTGTTCTGAGGACAATCATGCAAACACTGATGCTGCCCCCTTTATGCATTTTCCAGTCTGAACCAATTATAAAACTGACCTGAAACACTCGAGACTAAAACCTACAGTCTCCCAGTTTGTGACAGAAGAAAATGAAAAAAAAAACTTTCCCAATTGATGAAAAGGCCACTCACTCCAGAAGCTTCATTAATATGTGCTGTAAATGATGGAGCTAACATCACCCTGCAATGGCAAACTATGAACTGATTAACATACTGAAGTATAACCCCGTGATTTAAATCAGGTCTCTCTCCCTTACTCTAATTCAAATCAGAAACACACAGTAGTCTCATTTTTGTTAAATAAGCAGACTGTTCATTGACAACAACATAAACAGGTAATGTGCCCATTTACTTCAGAACGAACATGTGCATTACTGTAATTAGGAGCAATGCCTCACAGATGCAGCTCTTATAATTTAAAAAGAAAATCAATGAGAATAATTGTGAATGTCAAACAAACGCCATAGAACACAGCACACTCGAGATTCCCTAAAGTATTATTGAGCTGTTCACTTAAGGAAGGTTCCAGGATAAATGTCACTGATGTACTTTGCTATTTCTTCTAAATCAAGATACCCAAAAGAATGCTATAAATCAGCAGCAGGAAGCAGAGGTCGCAAAGCCTTCCAACTGTTATTTCTCCTTCTGATTGCTAACCAGCGGACAATGTTTTGCATGATGAGATTTAGCTCGGTCGTGACGCCCTTCACACAGATTCAGGAGTACCTAGGCTGACACTTCAAGAACGGACTCTTTAGAGATGCATGTGGGAATAAAAGAGTGCACGAGGAACAATACTCAGTAAGGGTCCACATCTTCAGTGAACGGGAGGAGAAAGAGAAACAGAACAGTGCCAGGAATGTTTGAAATTTACAGCTCAGAGGCTGTCAAATTCAGCTTAAATCTACCGAGATCTAGATCGAGCTTTCTTTTAAAAAAAAAGGGGAGGTTGAAAAAGCCCAGTCAGCCTTGCAAGCTAAACTAATTTTTTTCCAGTTTGTTGCTGACAGATGCTTTAGCAAATAGAGTACATTCAGTCCCTGTCAAGAATATTTCAACAGAGTAGCTGAGATCAAGATTTCTCTTTCTCTCCTATTCCTCTAGTTTCACAGCACATCCAAAAATAATCTCACACAAAGAAAATCAGCCTCTCAGATTTCAGCAGTTCTCCGCATATTGTCAGAATATCTCATCAATAGCCCAAGGAGGAAGCAAGAACAAACAGAAATCAAGTTAGTTTGTGATTCAACAATTCAGTCTATAAATCAGATGGTTTTATATGTGTGTAATAATTGTGGAAGGAATGAATAAAGACATTCTCCCGATGTATCATTATAAAAAAAGAGTTATGTGCACTCGTTAAAACATTGGGTTATACCTCACTCAATGGTAGCATTCAGTTCTGAGCCAGGCGATTACGTGGAATTCAAGAATATGAAGCACACAAGACAGGTCATTTAGCCTAAATAAAAACCAAAAGAATTGCAGATGCTGGAAATCAGAGACAAAAAAACAGAAATTGCTGGAAAAGCTCAGCAGGTCTGGTAGCATCTGTGGAGAGAAATCAGAGTTAATATTGTGGGTGACCCGAAAAGTTAACTGATTTCTCTCCACAGCTGGTGCCAAGTCATTTAGCCTAGCCACTCTGTGCCAGTTTTTACACCTTACTCAATCCATTTCCTAGCCTTCCTTATTTAGTTATTAGTTTAACTTTCCATTCCCTTTTCCCTAGAATGCTCCTCAAGCCTTCTCTCAAGTGTATCTAAACTATTCGCCTCAATTACTCCATATGTTAGGAAGTTTCACATTCTCTCATCACTGGGTAGATAAGTTTCTTCTGAAATTCCCACTTGGTTTCTTGGTGAACATTGACAGTCTCTGGTTTTCCCCTTCCACACAAGTGGAAAGATAATCTTTGTACAAAATCTCAATTCTGTCACACTCTGCAAGTGGCTAAGCTTTTAAAATCAGCCCAGTGTGTTTACTAAGCCAATACTCAATTGTGTTAAGTCAGCCCCTCCCAATTGCAGGGGACCAGCCTATTCATCCTTTCCTACCTGGTTTAACCTCACAGATAACTTCAGTCATCTTTTGCACCTTTTCCACTGCCTCTATCACCACTTTCTAATATATCAACTGTACTCCCAAGTGTCCTCTAAGCAAAGTTCAATAAATGTTTAGCATAACTTTTCTTCTTTTAAATTCAATCCCTCTGGAAATAAACTCAAGTGCTTGGTTTGCCATTTTATGGCCTTATTGACTCACAGTTACAACATTTATCATCTGTATATTTGCACTCCTGCACCCATTTGCTCCTTCATCCCCATCTAGATTCATAATTGCTAAAGTTCGATTTGTGACTCTGTTTTCCTTGTTTCCATCTGGAGACAAGGTTTCATTATCATTGCTGCCATCAATGTTAAACTTACATTTGCAGAATTCTTTGAGCACATTCTCTCTCCCTTTTGAAAAGGTTGCAGATCAGGATCCTACTCCAGAGACTTATGCACAAAATCTAGACTGACTTGTTAGGACAGTACTGGAGGATTGCTCCACTGTTGAAAATGTTGCTGCTGTAGCAAATTAACCCCATCTATTCTCTCAGGTACACAACAAGATATGAAGTAACTGTTGGAAGAAGTTCAGTGATGTGCCTCTTGTTGTTTGAACCGTAAACTAAAACAGAAATTTTTTTTTAATTTCATTGCTATTTGTGGGCGTCCGCAATGTGGCTGCTATAGTCATAGAATCATACAGCAGGGAAACAGACCCTTTGGTCCAAACAATCTATGCTAAACATAATCCCACTTACCTACTCCTAGCCCTATCCCACCAACCCCCTTCCTATTCACGTACTTATCTAAGTACTTTCTAAATGTTGTAACTGTGCCCACAACCACCACTTCCTCGGGAAGTTCATTCCACGCTCACACCTATGTGTAAAAAAAAAACTGCCACTCGTGTCTTTAAATCTCTCTCCCCTCACTTTAAAAATATGCCCCTAGTCATAATACCCCATCCTAGGGAAAAGACACCCACCATTAACCCTATCTATAGATGTCATGATTTTATAAACTTCTATCTGGTCACCTCTCAGCCTTCTACACTCCACTGAAAAAAGTCCCAGCCTATACAGTCTTTCTTTATAATTCAGACCTTCTAACCCAGCAACATGCTGATAAATCTCTTCTGAACCCTCTCTAGCCAACAATTGCACAAAAATCCCCATCATGCACAACAGCATCATAGGAAACGAACAGAGAACTTGGTACTTCTGTATGGAAGTCACGTTCGCAGAGACTTGGTGGTTGCAGGATGGTGAATGGTTCCATATACCAGGGGACACAAATTAAAAATTAAAATCAAGACAGAAATAAAAGTCAGGCAGACTTTATTTTCACTGAAAGGTACAAGAATTGCACACGAAGAGCCAGTGAGGCATAAAAAAAAAAAAAAATCTGTTCGGGCCTGAAATAGGGGCATTTATAAAAACAGAAGGAACGGAGAAATAGGTTTTTAAAAACAAAATGGCCAAAGCTTAATGTAATTTTCTGTTCTAGAAAATTTTGTTGTTGATGAACTCACGGACTCTGAAGAATTGTGTTGTATGTCCAAGTCTGCCGAGAAAGGCAACAGTGCCCCTTTAAGGTTAAATGGATTAGAGCACATTTTGTGCCAAAAGTAACTGCAATAATACTCTGGTGTTAGAGCAGAAAGCAACATCTGCTAGTTAATTCTATTGCTGCTAGTGGGAGCATCTAAATCCATTTTTGCTTCATGTGACTTTCATAAAATATTCTCACAGAAATTAATCAAAGATCATTTTCTGCGGAGTATGCACACTCCTGCCCACTTTGTAATGCAAATGGCTCAAGCTTCTCACAGCTAATATGAATTTTTAATGTTTTATGCAAAGCCTTAAGAGATCCTATCATTTAAAAATAAATTTTAAAATTGTCCTCCATCATCAAAGAGATGGGTTTATGGCTCCAGCTGTGCAAAGATTTCACTGATTGTCAGGAAAAGTAGTCAGTGGATAGGAGCTATGCCTACAAATAAAAGGCTTCTGATATGGCACTCACAAACAAAATCTTACAGGTAGCACATGCACCATGTGTCAAAAGTGAGACAGATTGCAAGCATCAGATACTGTAGTACCAGATCAATCAAATTAGAAGCAACTTCCTCACTTTTCAGACTGCCCCGAAACTTCTGCTCGGTGCTCCCCTCAAATTTCTCCTCATGATCCAAGTGCCAAATGCATCAGCCCACACACCTTTCGATGCCCCGACCGTACCATGTTATCAACAATCTTCAACCCTCAGATTCTCAAGGCTGTCAAACTCCTTACGTCCCTCTCCCTTCTTACCATTATCTACAGCCTAGTTTTCTACAACCTCGTTGCACTGAAACTGCTCTGGTCTAGAAACTGATTGTATTGGTTGGCCAGAGATAGAGATATATCAGGCCAATTCTCAACACCATCATCATTCTTGTATAGTACTTTGGGAGTGGAAGTATGGAGGATACAGTATTTGGTTAACTCAAACAATTCTCATTAAGGCGTTGTAAAATTATTTCACTGTTTTATGCTTCAGGAAAATAAAAGAGTCATTTCATTTTCCCTTTATTTTGGTATTTCTTGTGAAATATTTGGACAAGTGCAGATGAAAAGCTTCAAAATGCTTCCTTTTACAGACAAATATTTATGCTGTGTTTTCTAGCTTATACACTTGTGAGATAAGGCTTTCAAATGTCAATTCTATAATCCAGAGAATTCACAAATCCAGAAATGACTTGGTCCCAAGCACAAAGTAAAAACAGAACTGCTCCGAAGAAGATCATACTGGATTTGGAACTTTTGCTCAGTTTCTCTCTCCACAGGTGCTGTCAGATCTGCTGAGTTTCTCCAGCTTTTTCTTTCTCCAGCATTACTTTAAATTCATCCAATTTTCTCTCCCAACCTTCTCAACATTACTAGCATTTCCTCAAGGAGTTGAGTCAACAGGGCACCTACTTACAAACTTACAGCTAATGTAGGAGTAGCTTGATGAAAACTGTGGAAACCAACATACAGATCACTGTCAACCTGCAGCAGCTGGATAGAATAAAAAATGCACAATCTGTAATAAAATGTTGTTATTAATGCAGATCATCAAATTATCAGATTGTTGTACAGGCCCATTTGTTTTACTAAGGGATGTCAGGAGAAGTCTGGTCTTCTAATCTATACTGGCCTACATACCACTCCAAACCCATAGCAATGTAGACTTTTAACTGCCCTCTGAAATGGCCTGGCAAGCTGCTCAGTTGTTACATTAACCAGAGATGGTTAATAAATATTAGCCTTCCCCAGCATGTCCTCATCCCAAGAATGGCTAACTAAAAATCTACCCTATGTAGTTTTCATTAAACCATTTTCATTTCACCTGCGGACATAACAGATCGTGCAAATTACAGTCATCACCTCCTGACCCATGCCTTTACAGGAAATCCCATCCTGATAAACAACTGTGCACCTCACCACTGCAAGGTCAGTCAACAAAGGACAAACACTTAAAGTGAAAAACACAAAAGACGTAGCCATAGTAATTCTGCAAAGAATTTAGATTTTTCTTTCTCATTGTAATATGGACATCAATATGGCACAGAGCATACATGATTTGTATTTTCCCCAGGTTTATAGAGTCACACAGCATTGAAACAGACCCTTCATTCCATCCACTCCATGCCAACCACAATCCCAAACTAAGCTGATCCCACCTGCCTGCTCCTAGCCCATAATCCCTCCAAACTTCTCCTATTGGTGTACTCATCTAATTGGCTTTTAAACATTGTAAGTGTGCCCAAACCACCACTTCGTCAGGAAGTTCCTTCCACATGCAAACCACCCTCTGTGTAAAACATCTGCCCCCATGTCTTTTTTTTTTAAAATCTCTCTACTCTCACCTTAAAAATATGCCCCCTAGTCTTGAAATCCCCCATCCTTGGGGGATACACTTACCATTAAACCTATCTATACCTTTCATGACCTTACAAACCTCTATAAAGGTCACCTCTGAACCTCCTATCCTCCAGTGAAAAAAGTCTCAGCCTATCCAGCTTTTCTTTGTAATGCAAACCTTCCATTGCCGACAACATCCTGATAAATCTCTACTGAGCCCTTTCTAACTATCTTTATTTGGAGTGTTTTTTTTAATGCATTCATTTATGGATGTGGACACTATCACCTCAGGTTGCATTTACTGCCCATTCCTAATATCCCTTGAGGGGGTTCCTGTGAACCTCCATCATGAACTGCTGTAGTCCATGTTGTGTAGGTACACCTATAGTACTGATGCATTAAGGAGCTCTAGGTTCGTGGTACCCAGTTTGGACACTGCTATCTGGGAGAGAGAGACAGAAACACAGTTTCTCAATGTATTAATATATTCTTGTTCAGGAATTTTCACATTGAAGCAACCAGAAATGGGAGGGGGAGAAAGAGTTGACCAATTCTCTTTGTAAGTTCACCTCAAAGCATTAGATTCAAGCTCGATTTGCAACAGCAGAAAGGAGGGAATCTAGATCTCATTAACTTGATAAAAAGAACCAAAAAAGAACTGTGGATGCTGTAAATCAGAAACAAAAACAGATATTGCTGGAAAAGCTCAGAAGGTCTGGTAGCATCTGCGAAGAGAAGTCACAGTTAACGTTTTGAGTCCGAAACGTTAACTCGGACTTCTTTTCACACTGCTCAGCTTTTCCAGCAACTTCCATTGTTTGATTTTGAACTTGATAAAAAAGGCTGGTCATGCAAATCAGAATGCTCAAGGAAGGAGGACCAGCTTTCAGTAATACCAGTGTACATACCCGCATAGTGAAGCAAGCAACATTGATCAACGTGACCTTGTTCCGACAGCTAGCCCACACCATCTCATCCACTGCCAGCAGAGATTCGACTGTAGCAGAACCAACCTTTACCAAGTGGGGAGTATCCCATTCCCATTTCCCATCTGGAAAATGGAAGGAGAAAAAGATTGGACGAGTTGGAGCAAAATGAGATTCCCTGCTCACCATCACACACAAACACCATTGGGTATCACTTCAGCAGTAAAACACGAAGGTATCCAACAGGTGAAATTGAGCTGGAAAATCTACAACTGCCAAAGACACCCACTTATCTCCCAACACAGTCCCTGATAGAGACTCATCAGATGGAGTAAAGGAGGGAGGGTGTTCACCTTTATTGCAGGATCGTTCTATGCCAGTAGCTGGTGGAATTGCACATAGTGCTGACTCCATCGATTTTAGTGAAGTCCATAAGTTCTAGCCCGTAGGTGAGTATTTAAAACAAAAACAGATATTTTGAGCGAGACATGCCCAAGTGACTGGGGAGACCAGATTGAAAACCTACAGTATAGTTCTTGCTCGGTTTGATGAATCAGTTTTAAAAAACCGACCCCTAGACAATGCCCAAGGGCCTGATGAGAGCTCCAGCAGTAACCAGGAGAACATTATTGTGCCAACTTACAGCTGGAGGTCAGGAGTCGGGCAGAGGAAGTAATGCCACATACCCAACATTTCACCACACACTCACCATTTGTCCTGGTGTATGCTGCGACGGTCCCATCCTGCAGGCCAGCAAACAAAACGTTCATCAAATGCTTGAGGCACACAACAGGCACCTCTCCGGGGCTTTTAAATATAAACAAACACTGGGTTGCCATGTCAACACTCGCATATCCCACAACACTGAAAGGAAAGATAAATTAGTTGTCAGGCTTTTGCTTGGGTTGAAATCAAAATTAGATACAAAATTAAACACACACACACACACACACAGAGGAATCAAGGGTATTTCTGTGCTAACACTGGGGGACAATTGTTGGCATCTTATAAGTCACATTCTCCCCCATGCTCCAGATCCTGGAACTGTTATTACTCTCTCACACATCACCATATCCCTTTGCCCTACCCATCCACCAAACGAAACGTTTATACAGGATCATACCTCTGGCATCAGAGGATAGTGAGTTGGTGGAACAATCTCCCACAGAAAGCCATGAAGGCAGTGTCACTGAATATACTTAAAGGCAGAGGTAGTTAGATTCCTGACTGAAAAATTAGTCAAAAGGAGATGCGGCGAGCAGGAGAGTGGGGCTGATACCATAATCAGAGCAGCCATGTCCTTATTGAATGTCAGGGAGGGCTTGACAGACTGAATGGCCTATTCTTGCTCTTGGTTCCTATACTTTTAACTGCTGCTAGTGAAATTGTTCTTCAGTAAAGGAGTCAAGAGTCTTGACAAGATGAGTAGGAGAGATGAAGGAAGGAAAAACTTTGAAACAATACTGAAAACAAACAAACATTCTGCCTGACTGGAATTAAATTCAACTTTGAATTTTTCCCACTTTACATGGGGGATATTCATTACAGATTAAGAGATTCGTTCATAAATTAGGGGCTGTTTGACTGATGACTATATTCAGAGTTTGTAACATTAAATTGTACATTATTTTGTTTGAGGTCTCCATGTAAAAAGTACCCCCAGGCTCAGAGACAACTGAAAGGTCCATTTTGTTGACAGTTTTGTTGAAAATAAAACATGTCCACCTACAGCATCTAATGTACACTTTGACCAAAATTACCACCTGAGGTTCATTTGAAATGTATACCTGCCCTTGGGTAAGTCTGCAGCACCACACACAGGTAGGAGTCAGGTGCAAGTACACAGAACTGTGCACATTAAAAGGAAAGTTCAGGGTAAAAAACACACCAGAGGCCTAAACAGTCCCAAAGAGGGTTTGCCAGAAAATAAGACAGAATTTTAAGGTCTTCTTTTAATTGTTTCAGAGATATGGGTTTCCTAGCTATAGGCCAGCACTTGTTGCCCATTCTGAATTGACCTACAGAAAGAGATAGAGACCTGCACATTCCTGAACTGCTGCAGTCCGTGGGGTGTAGGTAGGGAGGGAGTGTGCGGAATCTGAACCAAAAGGACGAAATGCACAAAACTTTCTTCGCATTTAGAGGATTAACTTTCTCAGTTTAGCTTCATGAAGGTGCTTCACTTCAAATATTTACTTGCATTTTATCATGCTCCTGCGTATTTTCAGTAAATTTCTGCTTTGTTTTGATTGCCCAGTCTTCACATTGCATGCTTTAGCTACAGCTGAATGTAGTCTGGCAACACTCAACATTTGCTTGGGCAATGGGCCAGAGGAGGCGGGAGGGGGCGCTGGGGGGGGAGGGCAGTGCTTGCAATTGTTTGCTCCGGTTCATCAGTTCAAAGAGATCATCGTATGGTACCTTTATAGGGTGCACAGGAGGTTCATTAGTTCAGAACAGTTTTTTGCTTCTTTAATGTTGGTGTCATTATATTACTGTTTTCATCAGTGGACCTGATATTGACTAGCCAATCAGTCCTGAATAAAATCACAATAGTTACAGCTCAGGAGGCAGCCATTTGACCGATCCAGGTCTGTACTTGCTCCCTGCAGGACCAATGAAGCTATTTCCACTTATCCTGCCTTAATAGCACTGCAACTTATTTGCTAATTACCTGAAGCAAAATGCTTTATTGAAAGCTGCAACTGCAAGCCTTGCAATGCAGTGTTAGTGCCTCTACCTCTGATGTAGGGGGCCCGAGTTCTGGTAGAACTCCCACCTGCCCAGAGGTGTGTCCTACATTTCCCAACAGGTTGGATGAAAAAGACTAGTCTCTAACATTTTGGGGCTCTTATGGTGCAGTGGTATTGTCCCTACCTCTGAGCAAGGAGGCTTTGACTCAAATCCCACCTGCTCCAGAGGTGTGTAATGACATCTCTGAACAGGTTGATTGGAAAATATTTGGAAGCTGCAATCTGCTTCTGCCAGACTCTCAGGATGTGTCTTTCCAATTTCTAGCCACTCGTTACTTAAAGATTTTCATTACGTTGCCATTGGCAAAAGAGACAATCATCTTCAATTAGTTCTCGATCTTTCCAGCTACGGTAACCGTTTTTCCCAGATCTACACTGTTCAGACCTCATGATTTTGAGCACCTTGATCAAGTCTCCGCTCAATTCCTTGTCCAGAAGGAAAACAGTCTCAGCTTCTCCAATCTATCGACATCATGATGTTCTTCACCCTGGAACCATTCTTGTCAATCTGTTCTGCACCTTCTCCAATATCTTTATATCCTTCATAAAGTGTGGTGCCCACACATGGATGCAGTACTCTGGTTGATAGTAAACCAATGTTTTATACATATGTATCATAACCTTCTTGTTTTTGAAAGAAAGGCTTGCATTTATATAACATTTTCATGACCAGTGGATGCTTCAAAGCACTTTACAGCCAGAGAGGATGTTTAAAGTATTGTTGGTGTTATAATGTAGCAAGTGGGACAGCCAATTTGCACACAGCAGCTATCCAAAAAAACAGTATTGTATTATCAGCCAGAGAATGTGTGATGTTGATCAAGGGATCAATATTAGTCAGGACACCAGGGAAAAAGCCCCTGCCCTTTTTTCAAAGTGGTTTCATTGCGTAAGTTGCATCTACCCAAGCTATCAGATGAAACATTAATTTAATGGCTTATATAAAAGATGGCACATGTGACAGTGTAGCATACCCTCAGTACTGCACTAAGTGTCACTGTAGAACTAAGAATAGGCGGAACACAATTTCTCTGCAGCCATATATATATCTGCTTCTGTTTCCTATGATGAAGATTACTTATGAACAATTAGCAGTCAGTTGCTTCGCTAATCTAACCTCAATTAAGTGCACTGTGCTTCACAGTGGTTTATCATACAGAGCATGATCCAATCACTGGTCAAGAATAAAAATTAGCGAATTTCCATTGGGAAATGGACCTTAGGGGCTCCCCAAAGACATTAATATGGAGCCAAGAATATATAACATCTGCTCATTTCTCTCCAATTTTTCCGTTGGAGAATGAGCATTTATGAGCATCAAGTAAAACAGAAGAAAGAAATAATTTGCATGTATATGGCACCTCAATGTCCAAAACAGGTTTATGGTCAATGAATAGTTTTGAGATGGCATTGTGGCTCAGTGGTTAGCACTGCTGCCTCTCGGTGCCAGAGACCCAGGTTTGATTCCAGCCTCGGGCGACTGTCAGTGTGGAGTTTGCACATTCTCCTGCATCTGCATGGGTTTCCTTCAGGTGCTCTGGTTCTTTACCCCTCCGGCTCCCACAGTCCAAAGATGTGCAGAGGTGTACAGGCTTGCTGGTTTGGCCAGGGTTACAGAGATAGGGGAGGAGGTTGGGTCTGGGTGGGATGGTCTTCAGAGGGTCAGTGTGGACTCGATGGGCTGAATGATCTGCTTCCACATTGTAGGGTTTCTATGTTGTAACATAGCAAAATTAGCAGCTAATTTGCATACAGCAAAGCCCCTCAAACTGGTCGAGAAATAAATATTGCTCAGGACACTGGAAGAGCTTCTTGTTCTTCTCTGAAATGGTGCCAGCAATCTTTTAAGTGCACAGTAAGAGGACAGACATAGTCACAGATTAATGTTTGTGATGAAAGGTTTGTCATTTACATTAAGAGTTAGATTTTAAGCTTGTAACTAGTTTTGTATATTCATGTGTGAGGTGATTAATAGCTAACTAGGTTAATCATTTTGCAAAGATAGTAGTAACTGCAGATGCTGGAGAATCTGAGATAACAAGGTGTAGAGCTGGATGAACACAGCAGGCCAAGCAGCATCAGAGGAGCAGGAAAGCTGACGTTTCTGGTCGAGACCTTTCTTCAGAAATGGGGAAGGGGATTCTGAAATAAATAGGGAGAGAGGGGG